CCTCTCCTTCGTCTTCTTCTTCTTCTTCTTCCTCCTCCTCTTCTTCTTCTTCTTCCTCTTCAACTTCTTCTTCTTCTTCTTCTTCTTCTTCTTCTTCTTCTTCTTCTTCTTCTTCTTCTTCTTCTTCTTCTTTGTCTTATCAACACCGTCCACTGAGATCAGCCCTTCCCTTATCTTCGTTGTCTATATTAGGACGGCGGCAGGCTCGTTCATTCTCCCCACCTCCTAGTCCCGCTTCCTCTCGGCGTCATATTGATCCTGGTTCGTTGTCTGACCGACAACCTGCTTTGGTACGTCGACGGCGTTCGTCAATTAAACGCCAACCGCGCCAAATCAGACGGGCCTTCCAGTGGTGACCGATTTGGATTTGCGAGCAGATCTACCAAACATTTGTGGCCTGACGGCCACGAATGTTTGTCTGCAAGCTTATCAGCGTCAATGTTATACTGTATCTCAATTTCTTACAATTGCTTATCAGCTTGACGCTGTTGAAAATGAGTTGTTGTATTACCGTAATGGTCTACCTCCTGAGGATAGTAATTATACTACCTCAGGAGGCTTTACTATAAATGTCTTACAGTTAGCATTTCACGGTCGCCACCTTCTCATGCATTATGGGACGCCAGGCGAGGATTTTAATGCCCGTCCTCATATTTCTGCATGCATTTTGCACAAACCCGGGCACTATATGGCACTCGTTCGTGCAGCTGCCCAGTGGGAACTGTGGGATGGTGGGACGGTGATTCAGGTTATTGTCAACATAAATGAATTCTTGCGAGGTTTGTCGAATCATACACTGTTCTGGATTGTTGAGCGTCTCTCGTGCGACATTTGTCGGGATAGAGACGTGGTGCGTCTTGGTTGTGGAGTGCATTATCTGTGTCAGCACCATTATCAATCCATTGCGACTGCCGCCGTATGTGCGGAAGGGTGTCTAACATTTCCTCATTGTGCACATCCCTATCACCCAGATGTACGTTGTCCTTTCTGTTCCCAAGGATGCTATAAGAACTGCATGATGCCGCACTGTGACGAACGTCCTGCTGTTTTCTTGACATGTGGGCAACATGTCCTATGTCGGGATTGTTTCGGTGGGATGGTTCGTGCTACAGTCTTCCCCTGAACAAAACACACGTGTGTTGTATATGAATACAACGCACGAGGTGCCTTGTATTCGTATACTACTCACGCGCGTTATGCTACGGGTTTTGGGCACCAACTTCAGAAAACCGGCTCTCAGAAAAAATCGGCTATATGCCCTTGCAGCCACGGGCCTGTCCTTGGGGCATCAGTCACAGTTGGAGCTATACACATTAATCGAGAAATGGTCCTCATTACAAAAAAAAAAAAAAAAGTCTCCAGAATGAATCTTCCC